CAGTTCTGGGCTGGGCTGCTCTGGGCACCTGTGCCAGGGCCTGCCCACCCTCTGGGCAGAGACCTGTCCCTTTGTCCTGTCCCTTTGTCCTGTGTCACAGAAATGCTGCCTGGCCTGCAGAGGTGCCTCTTCTTGCTTGGAAGCAAACTTTGAACTGGGGGAGCTGGGCTGCTGGTTTTCATGAACAAGAGAGGTCCCAGTTTCTTCTCCCTGGCGTGGTGGGAGCTCAGCTCCCTTGGCACGAGCAGCCCATCCATGTCCCCACGGCTCTGGAGGCTCCTGCCCTGCCTTGTGCTCCCTCCAGGCTGGGACTGAGGCTCCTCTGCGTGGTGATGCAGCTCTAAATGGAAGGGATGGGAGAGGAGGAGAGCCTTCCTCATTCCCACAGGCAGGGCAGCACTCATGGTCTGTGCTGCTGGAGCTGCTGGAGCTCCTGGAGCTCTTGGAGCTGCTGGAGTTCCTGGAGCTGCTGGAGCTGCTGGAGCTGCTGGAACTCCATGAACTGCTGGAGCTGGGGGCTCCCAGAGCTTAGGAACCCCCACACCAGGAGCCCCCGAGCTGCCAGCACATCCCATGGAAGCTTTGGCAGGATGCAAGGATGGAAAATACAATTTCCCACCGGGGTGGCTGAGGAGAATCCAGCTGTTTTACTCTGCCTTGCACCTGTTCATCCAGGAAAAGCAGAATTTGTTGCTGCTGGCGTTGGGTTGTTGGGCTGGAAAATGGAGTGTCCTGTGAAGGCTCTTCTGAGACCTCTCAGGCCCACAAAACCTCACTCACAGTGGAAAATGTGACCTTGTGTTTTCTCTTTCGAGTCTCTGATGAGCTGGTTGGGGCTTTGAGGCGCTGTGGTTGGTGAAGGTGATTGGGAAAATGCTCTTGTTCTGTGTGAACTTTAAAAAACACGGGAGGTTTATTTCCCTGCCCACATTTATTTCATCTACCCACGTTTTCCTAAAATAAAAGCACTTTTTCATCTATTAGAAAGACAACACCAAATTAATTCTCATGAAGATGTTTCACCAGCACCAGTGGGTTTTTTAAGAAAAAACCATAACATTACAATCCTGGGGTGAGGGAGAGAAAATCCATGGAAAGGCACATTTGGACAGGAATATTCCAGGTAGTGCTGATGTTTTGAGCTCACCTATCAAATGTTTGCACTTGGAATTTGTTGCTACTTTGACCTCCCAAGGAAAAGTTGCGTGTTCCATGTTTTGTACATTGAAACGTGGTTGTGAGGCTCTCATGGTTTGAGTCACTTGTTTGGCAGCAGGAAGGATGCTCTGCTTTCCAAAATCCTTTGGATTTGGAAGTGATAAAACATATTTTTTTTAAATAAACCATTTCCATTGATAGCTCCAGGTGTGCAGAGCTGGTGCAGGCACCACACACCTGTGCTGTGACATCTTTAATGGTATTTACGGGAGCTCTCCCTCAGCACCAAAGCTCTGGGCTCCCAGCAGGCTCCCAAAAGCTTGGAGAAGGTTTTTAATCCTGGGAAAACCGAGGGAAACTTCTCAGGGAAGCTGAGTACAAGTTTGCTGGCCTGCCAGAGAAGTAATCGTGTGGAATCAGAGGTCCTCAATTATTCATGTTTTCCAGAATCACATTACTTCTACCCAGGGCCTGTTTCATAAATGCTGCTGCTATTTCTGATGGTAAATAACAATTTTGCATTATTTATGAGCAGATTTTTACAACTGCTGATGTTACAGCTGCTGCCAAAGCTCCGGGAAAACGATGAGTGCTGCTGGTTGTTGTTCCTTCCTTACACACAGCCCTGCCTGGTGTGGCCGTGCTGGGGATGGGGATGATGGGGGTGAGGATAACGATGATAATGATGGTGATGGTAATGATGGTGATGGTGATGATGATGGTGATGGTTATGATGATGATGATGATGGTGATGATGGTGATGATGGTGATGATGATGGTGATGATGATGATGATGATGATGGTGATGATGGTGATGATGGTGATAATGATGATGGTGATGATGGTGATGATGGTGATGATGGTGATGATGATGGTGATGATGGTGATGATGGTGATGATGGTGATGATGATGGTGATGATGATGATGATGGTGATGATGGTGATAATGATGATGATGATGATGGTGATGATGGTGATGATGGTGATAATGATGATGGTGATGATGGTGATGATGGTGATGATGGTGATGATGATGGTGATGATGGTGATGATGGTGATGATGATGGTGATGATGATGATGATGGTGATGATGGTGATAATGATGATGATGATGATGGTGATGATGGTGATGATGGTGATAATGATGATGGTGATGATGGTGATGATGGTGATGATGGTGATGATGATGGTGATGATGGTGATGATGATGATGATGATGGTGATAATGATGATGATGATGATGATGATGATGGTGATGGTGATAATGATGGTGATGATGATGATGATGATGGTGATGATGATAATGATGATGATGATAATGATAATGATGATGATGATGATAATGATGATGATGATGATGATGATGATGGTGATGACAATGATGATAATGATGATGATGATGGTGATGATGATGATGATGATGGTGGTGATGCTGTGCCATCCCAAGTGCTCCCTAAGCACAGCACCAGCGAGGAGCAGGGTGCAGGTGCCACAGCGTGACTTGGGTGGCCCCTGAGCTCGTGGCTGGTGCTCAGGGCTGACCTGAGCTAGGGAAGGATTTGGGACAGGACCCCAGGCCGTGGATAAGCTCCCAGAGGAGGAAGAGGAGAAGGTCTATCCCAGTGCTATGCTCAAGAGGGTTGGGCCTTGGGGGTGGTTTGCCCACCATGGGTTCTGCTCCATTTCCCTGCTCTGGGACACGGCTTCACTGGGAGCTGCAGGAGGTGACACGGGTGACTGTGAGTGCCACCAGCTGGGCTTCATCCTGTGGCTCCCGGGCTGATACCTCTGTGTCCCCTGTCCCTGTCTCGTGCTGCTCCTGCAGGTGCCAGGAGAGGAGGGAATTTCTCGGGTGAGCAGCAGGGGGATGGTGTTGCCTGCGGCAGCCGCTCCTTCCCCACCTGCAGGGATGTGACACCTCCGGTGCCAGCACGGGCACCTGGGCAGTGCCAGCAGCCCCTGCCCGTCTGTCCTGCCCCGGCCCAGCTCACTGGGTAATGGATTTGGGAGCTGCACCTTTCAGCCCTGCCCAAGCCACCCTGCTGCTCCCTGTGCCAGCTCCCCACACGTGTCCCCTGTCCCCTCCACCAGCAATCCAGCCCTTCCCTGGCTCAGCTGCTGGGTCAGCCCCTGCCCCACGGGGACACCAGGGCTCTGTGGGGCACAGCCTGGCAGCAGAGAGCAGCACCAGCACAAAGACTCTGCAGGGACCTGCCCCATCTGGTTATTTTTTCCCTCCCCAGCCTGTCTGGAGAAAAAGGTTCTTAAGCTGCTCTGCACAGCGAGGCCCTGGGAGGCAGGAGGAGGTTCCAGCTCCCAGAGGAGGAACACCCAGGTGCTGGTTGGAGGCTCCAGGAGGAGAGCCAGGATGTGTCTCACAAGCTCCGCGTTGCCATGGAGTCGAGGACGGGATTGAATCCAGTGACGCTGCTGTGGGGAAACAAGAGCTCAATGCAAACAGCAGCAAGTTGTGTTCTCTCCTTCCTCCTGCAGATCTTCTCCATCGTGGTGTTCGGCTCCATCGTGAACGAGTGCTACGTGAACAAGGACAGCCAGCACCCCGAGCTGCTCTGCATCTTCAACGAGAATGAGAGTGCCTGCAGCTACGGCATCGCCGTGGGCATCATCGCCTTCTTCGGCTGCATCTTCTTCTTCGTGGTGGACCTGTACTTCCAGCAGATCAGCAGCGTCAAGGACCGCAAACGGGCCGTGCTGCTGGACCTGGGCTTTTCAGGTAGCTCTGCTCTGCCCTGAGGGCTCACTGCTGTGCCCTGCCCCTCCACTCTGGGTGTTCCCCGCTCCTCCCGTGGCCTGACACGACTCGTGTGCCTCGGCTGGGGACGTGGGTGGCAGGGGAGCTGTCCCACCCAGCCACAGTGAGCACTGAGGCAGACGGAGGTGGTGCCTGGGGACAGCGGCGTGTTTGCTGGGTTTGGTGAGGCCAGCCACGGGTGAGGCTTGGTGGGCACATCTCAGAGCCCACACGGGGGTTTTACCCGCCCACATCTCCTGTTCTGCCTCAAGAAAAGCAAAGGTGGTTTTGGCAGCTGCCTCGGGTCTGGTTTCGCTTTGTGCACGAGTTCGGAGCAGCTTCTGGGGCTGCCCTCGGACCTGCCCTCCTGAGCCCTCGAGCTGAGGCTGATCCCTGCAGCCAGGAGCAGGCAGGATGCTCGGGGCTGGGAGGGAACATCCTCTGCTCTGCTCTGCTCTGCTCTGCTCTGGGAGCTGCCTGGCTCCGTTTGCAGCTGCTGCTCTGCCTTCCCCGGCTGTCAGCAAAGGCTGAGGTGATTTATCCAGCACGAGCATCGCTGGTGGCTCTCTGTCCCAAATGAAGACATCCATCATCCCCTCCCTGCCTTGCCTGTTGTTCAGGCTGTTCTGTCCTCTCTGCAAAGCTCATTTCCATGGTGCTGGAGCATCCAGCCCTTGTTAGATAAAATTTACAGCCCCTTCCGTGGGGCTCGGTGCCCGAAATCCTTGGATTCAAGCGGAGGGGGGACATCACATCCATCTTGTGGCTGCTGCTGCGTGTCACAGAGCCAGGCTGGGTCCTGCTGCCCTGCCTCACACCCTGAGAGCCTCTGCTCCCTGCCAGGCTCTGCTCTCAAACTCTGCCTCCTTTCTCCTTTGTCCCTGTGATGGATCCACTGAGAGGAGAAATGAGAGAATCATGGTTTGGTTGGAAGGGACATTAGAGCCCATTCAGTGCCACCTTCCACTAGACCAGGGTGCTCCAAACCCAGTTAAGCTCTTCCAGGAATCCAGGGGCAGCTTCTCTGGGCACCCTGCCACCCTCACAGGGAAGAACTTCCTAAAATACAACTGGGAAGAAGCTGGGTGATAAGTCTGGGGCACAGGTGGGGCTTCAGGCAGGGTCACCACGCTGGGAGCAGCATTTACAACCTTCCCTTCCAGCTGTTCCCACAGCCAGGCGTTTGCTGGAGACCAGGCTGTGCTTAGGCTGCTAAAACACACCTTCCCTGGTGTTTGCACTCCGTTGTCTGCAGATCCTTGGATGATCGTGGTCCCCTGGCTCCCGTGGCTCTTCCTGGCGCTCCGGTTTTCCCCGGAGGGCTGGAGGGAGTGGAGCTGCTGCCGTGGCTGATGCAGCTGGAGCTGGGGCTGGCACAAGCAGCCTCACCCCGTCCCTGCCAGCTCAGCCCTCTCTGAGGGCTTTTAAAATTCCTGTCAGTCCTCCAAACATCGAACCACACCGGGCTTGTGTGGCTGGAGGTGCTGCCCATGCCTGACCCCATCTCCTCCTGGCACTGGAGAATGCTCCTGCTGCCCAGAGCTGCTCTGGAGGGGAAAAGCTTCTCTCAGGCTCTCCCTGCATCACAGAACCTCCTGGAAGTGCACAGGGGTGGCAGCAGAAGCGATCCCAGCCGCTCCTGGCTGGAGGTTTTGGGATGAGGAAGGTCAGAGCTGGTGCTGCAGAGGGATTTGGCAGCTGCAGTACCCAGCGCAGCCGTGCTGGGCCCGGGCTGTGCATGATGTCATTTTAACTCCTGACATCCCAGGGGTGCCACCAGGGCTGGGGGGACACTGGGGACAGAGTGGCAGTGTCACTGGGGACAGTGACATCAGTGGCCCTGTCCTGCCAGGGAGGACGAGCAGCGCTGGCTCCAGTGTCACACACAGGAACAGCTTCCCCCTCCACAAACCTGTGCCATCCCTGTGTCCCCAGCCTTGTCCCTGAGCATAACCAGTGCCATCCCTGTGTCCCCAGTGCCATCCCTGTGTCCTCTGTGCCAGCCCTGTGTCCCCAGCCTTGTCCTTGAGTGTACCCAGTGCCATCCCTGTATCCCTTGTGCCATCCCTGTGTGCCCTGTGCCAGCCCTGTGTCCCCAGCCTTGTCCCTGAGTGTACCCAGTGACATCCCTGTGTCCCTTGTGCCAGCCCTGTGTCCCCAGCCTTGTCCCTGAGCATAACCAGTGCCATCCCTGTGTCCCCAGTGCCATCTCTGTGTGCCCTGTACCAGCCCTGTGTCCCCAGCCTTGTCCCTGAGTGTACCCAGTGACATCCCTGTGTCCCTTGTGCCAGCCCTGTGTCCCCAGCCTTGTCCCTGAGCCATCCTGCTGCTCCCACGGTGTGAATCAACCTTTGGGAGCTGCTCTTGTTTCACCTCTGGGCTTTTGACTTCTGAACTACCCCCAGTGTGATTATCAATGCTGAGGTTGAGTGCAGGGCTTGGAGCTGCCTCCCATGCCAGGAACAGCTGCTGGTAAAGCAGCAGGGCAACAGAAAATATCCCTGAATTTAAGGGATATTACAATGTGACCTTTAAGGAGTAAATCCCAGAGGTCTCATCTAATGCTGGCAACGAGTCACTGTCCCCAAGGGAAGTGAAAATGCTTATGCAGAGATTTGGGTGGGTTTGGTGACAGGAGTGGCTGTATTTGGTGAAGTGTCTGTAATTTGGAGCAGGAAACCTGATCCTTCCTGCAAGGCAGCCCTGATGGTTGGGAATTCCCAAAGAATGTGGAAATTAGGAACAAATTCTGAATTCAAGGCCTTGAGCCCTGTACCTCCAGCACTCAGTGTGGATGCTCCCAGGCATTTTATGTTGTATTTAGGGATAACTGGCAAGAAAAATGGGAATAAAAGGGAATAAGGGAAGGCTCTCCTCTCCCTGCAGTCAGACAGGGACTGGCAGCCTGGCTGCTCATCCTGCTGGGAATTCCAACATTCCAGCATTCCCAACATCCACGTGTGCACTGACACCCAGAATCCGAGGCATCAGGAATGATGGAGACCCTGAAAACAGCACCATGGGAGGGTCCAGATTGTGCAGCTCCTCTTCCCAGTGCTGGAAAACGCCCCTGCTGCTGCTCCTGGCTTTTCCTCTCCTGTTCCCGGAGCTCCTTGGCACCGGGCTGGTGGCTGGGGATGGAATTAGGGCAGCTGCAGCCCTATCTTGCTCAGCCAGCTTTGCTTCCAGGCAGGAATAATCAAATAATCACCAGAGTGTTTCTGCTCCGTTCCACAGGCCCAGGGGGATTCTCTGCAGAGCTCTCACGTGTCCTGGAATCAGGGAATTACAGACTGGTTTGGGTTGGAAGGGGCATTAAAATCCATCCCATCCCAACCCCTGCCATGGGCACAGACACCTCCCACTGTCCCAGGCTGCTCCAAGCCCTGTCCAGCCTGGCCTGGGACACTCCCAGGGATCCAGGGGCAGCCCCAGCTGCTCTGAGCCTCCCCACACTCACAGGGAAGAATTTCTTCTCAGTATCCAATGTAAATCCACCCTCCTTCAGCCTAAGGCCATTTCCCCTTGTCCTGTTATTCAGTGCCCTTGTGCAAAGTGCCTCTCCAGCATGTCCAGGGAGGATGTGCTGTCCCTGGGGGTCACTGAGATCACATTGAGGAGTAGCTGAGCTGAACTTCAGGCAGGCAACACACCGAGATGACCCCACAAGTTTCCTTCCACCTTTGTTTTTGTTTTTCAAAAGCTCCTTTTGGGCCACGGCTCCCGAAATTCCCGTTCCTGTTGGAATCCTGGGTGGTGTGTGCAGGGGCAGCACTGACCAGCTCTGTTTTCCTGCAGGTTTCCTGGCCTTCCTGTGGTTTGTAGCTTTTTGCTTCCTGGCAAACCAGTGGCAGAGGACGACGCTGACCAGGGGCTTCTCGCAGGGCGCCGACGCGGCGCGGGCAGCGATCACCTTCTCCTTCTTCTCCATCATCATCTGGGTGAGGGCAGCCCCGGGGCTGGAGGGGAACTGAAACCTGCCCAGGGTGGTGCTGAGCTGGAGGGGGACTCTGGGGTTTGGAGAAGTGATCCTGGGGCTGCAGGGGACCCTCCAGGCGTGGAGCTGGTGGTTATTTACTAGGGAAGCTTCAGCTCGGTCCCCTCTCACTGGGGAATTCCAGGCTTCCCTTTCTCTCGAGGCTGGGAGGTTTTGTTCCCACTGAAAACGTGTGGCCAGGCACGAGCTGCCCTGCTTTCAGAGCCTCCTCGGAGCCCCAGGGTGGCAGAGAGTCCCCAGGAGCAGATCCCTGCGCTGAGCTCTTTGTGGGATGCCTGGGAGATTTTGGGAGCTCTCATCAGCTCCCTCCTGGGACAAGCCACACTGGCCCC